GCCTCAATCCTTTGGGGTGGCTCAAATATCCTTCTCGTCACTTGCGGGATCCAATTAGCCAACCACACTTTATTCACGCCATTTCCAAAGCGAAATATAACGAATAGCGTATTGACCAGATTAACAAACCGTCCAACCAAATGACATCCAGAAAAACCAGAAAAAAAAAACTCTTCGCCTCCAAAGGCTTGCTTTATAAGTCATACCGTGCCCTTATTTATTAGGAGTTTTACAGCCAAGGGGTGGACTCATAAACTGACTTCTGGGATGCGTTCATCCCCTAAAAGAGCATCTGGAATTTCCTCGCACACTTGAAACTTCATTTAAATGCATCCCATAAATTGTCATCATAACACCGGTTATTTCAAAGATCATTGGCGACACGCACTGGCGGGTCCGTGCGATCATGCGTTTTTGCAGTGATTCGTGCTGTAATAAGATCACTCGAAAATTCCGCTAGCTAGAAACCTCTTGTACATACTGTTCCTCGAATTTCGGGAAGTTAATTATCCACGCTATAATAGGACAGGAAAAATTCCCTCGAAATCCCAGGTTTCCAGCCGTCTCAGTTCCCGAATTACCCAAACTGCAGCCAGAAAATTTCACGGGGCCGTACGTAGCAACCACGCATGAGGGGAGGGGGGGGGGGCTGAATTTGACAAAATTTAAGTTGCAGATGAGTTGGGGACATTTCCTGGAAGTTTCAGCCTTCCAGCTTCCCTGGTTCCGGACTTACTTATTTTCCCGCCAAAAATTTTCACGGGGCCGTACGTGACAGCCACGCACATTGGAGGGCTAAATCTGATAAACTGAAATTGAAGATGAGTTTGGAACATTTCCTGAAAGTTTCAGCTCCCAGCTTCCCTGATTCCGAAGTTATTCATTTTTCCGCCAAAAGCTTTCACGGGGCCGTACGTGGCAACCACGCATGAGGGGGGCTAAATTTGATAAATTGAAGTTGTAGATGAGTTGCGAACATTTCCTAAAAGTTTCAGCCTCCCAGCCTTCTTGATCCCGAGTTAGCGACTTTCGCGCCAGGAACCCTCAGGAGGCCGTAGGCGGGAACCACGAACTCCCGAGGGCTGAATTTGAAATCTTTGAGTTCTACTTGGACTGGAAACATAATCCCAAAATTCCAGCTTTCTAGCTTCTC